TGACGATGATGATGATGAAGTCGATGTTGATGATGACCATGATGATGATTATGAAGATGATGATGATTACGCTGATGATGATGATGATGATGACGATGATGATGATGATGATGTTGACGATGATGAGGGTATTGATTATGATGATGTCGTTGATGATTTGGATGTTGATTCGGATGATGGTGATGATGTTTCGGATGATGGTGATGATGATGCTGTTGATGTTGATGATGATATTGATGCTGACTCGGATGATGATGATAATGACGCTGATGATGAGGGCGATGACGATGATGATGACGATGTTATCGATGGTGAAGACGATGTTGATGATGATGATGATGATGATGATGATGATGATGATGATGATGATGATGATGATAATGGTGATGATGATCATGTTCATGATGATAATGATTATGTTGATGTTGATGATGATGATGATGATGATGATGATGATGATGATGATGAGGATTATAATGATGACGATGACGATGACGATGACTATAACGATGATGATGTTGATGATGTTGACGATGATGACGATAATGATGATGATGATGATGTTGATTATTCGGATGATGATGAAGATTAAGTTGATTTTGAAGATGATAATGACGCTGAATCGGATGATGACGTTAATGACGCTGATGTTGAAAATGATGGTGTTAGCATAATTATGATTCGTTAGATGATGTGATGATGAGGACGACGATTCGCATGTTTCTGATTAAGACGTTGATGGTGATGATGATAAGGATGATGTTGATATTGATGATGATGATGATGATGATAATGATCGCGCTGATGATGATGCTTTTTTTGATGATGACTACTCGGTCGGTGATGATGATGATGATATCGATGTTGATGATTATGGTAACGATAATGATGATGATGATGATGATGGGCATCTTGATGATCCGCAGGTTTATGTGATGATGGCGATGATGATTCGCATGAGTCGGATTAAGATGCTGAAAATGATGGTAATGAAGATGATGTTGATGATGACGATGATGATGAAAATAATGATGATAAAGATGACGCTGATGATGATGATCATATTGAAGACAAATACTCGGTTGATGATGATCTTGGTGATGTTGATGATGATGATGATTCGGATGATGAAGATGATGATGATCATTGTGATGATTCGGATGATTCGGATGATGATGATGAGGAGGATTATAATGACGATGATGATGATGACGATGATGATGTTGATGATGTTGACGATGATGATGATGATGATGATGATTCGGATGATGATGATGATGGTGAATATTCGGATGATGATGAAGATGATGTTGATGTTGAAGATGATAATGATGGTGACTCGGATGATGACGATAATGAGGCTGATGTTGAAAATGATGGTGTTAGCATAATTATGATTCGTAAGGTGATGTGATGATGCGGATGACGATTCGCATGGCTCTGATTAAGATGTTGATGGTGATGATGATAAGGATGATGTTGATATTGATGATGATGATGATGATGATGATGATAATGATCGCGCTGATGATGATGCTGATGCTGATGATGTCTACTCGGTCGGTGATGATGATGATGATGTCGATGTTCATGATGATGGTGACGATGATGATGATAATGATGATGATGATTCGGAAGATGATTCGGGTGATGAAGATAATGAAGAT